GTGGCCCAGGACAGCAGAACTCCACGCCAAGAAGCTGCTGCCCAGAACATCGGGACTTTGTACCAGACAGCTGCTGCTCAGAGTTCAGCTTTATGCCAAAGCTTTTAGCAAGGACTCTAATGCTCTGAACTCTCTGCCTTCGAGACTGATGTCTTCTTGAGACTCAGTAATCCTCTCTTGAATCCCCACTAATTGTCAACAGGTATCCTACTTCAGCATTTACAGTTTCAATGGCCCCAGCAACAGTATAGTTGATAACCAGGATCATTTCTGCACTGTTAAAAATCAATCATCCTGCATAAATCCTGTATAACAGTAAAGCAAATGACTGGAGATACAGAAAGGTTGACCTCAATTATAGAAGGATCTACAGAAGCTGAAAGGTTTGCAGCACACACACAGACATACTAATACAGACATAAAAATAGGAAAAGTAAGTACTAGTAACTTAGCAAAACAGAACCAAATTTGGGATTTAGATAACTAAGGCTGAGGAATATGACAGCATTATACTGATTTCCTACAGTGACTACATTTCAACTTCTGGAAAACTGCCATTTAATTAGATAAGAAACAGAAAAACTAATTAGTTAATTAATTGCCCAAGGATCCCAAAAATCAGACAGTACATACCTTTCTTCAGTGCACTCCTGTTTCTCAGTTCCATCAATTTCAATTTCTATCAGCTCCTCTGCCTCTCTCTTAGTCATGGCTGCAATGTCTTAAGAACAGAGCTATGAACAGAAAAGAATTTTTTGTGTAAGTCACAGACCAACAACACTAGGCAATGTTTTGTGTCCTATCACACATTTTTTTTAATCAAATACCAGAATAGCCTTTTAAAGCCAAGAATTCATCTAAAAAAATATATATCCAAAAAGCTAATACAGATTTCACAAAATATATTACTACACTTGTCCTCAAACAAATGTTCTAGAAGCAAGCATGCAACTATTAAGACATTTGCACAGAGCCCAAAGTCTGATTCTCTTGGAGGCACCCAAATCTATGGATTTTTTTTGTTGTTGCTACAGGCCACCTACAGCAAAGCACATCTGAAAATTCAAACTACCTTCCTAGCACAGCTGAAAGATGCTTATAAATTTAAGCAGCATTTTACATGAAATGCTGCAAGAGGCAGTTAGAGAGAAGATGTATGATTTCTTCATAGGTAAATAGTCAACAGCAAAGTGTTTGTCAACTATCCCATTTTTCCACTCATGCCTCCCACAGGTGAATGGTTGATGACATGAGCACAATAAACATATCTTGTGAAGTCCCAAACTAAAGCAGGACACTAGTAAAGAAAAGAAAAGCTATTCTGTGACGACATTCTCACTAACACTGCAAATTTTCATGCCCTATAGAACAGTGTTGGGAATGTATTCCCAGTCTGTTGGGAATGTATTGGGAAATAAAGAATTACAGCATTTGGTCTGTAAAGACATAGCTGGTCTGGTATTACTGTTTTTCACTAACCAGCACATATGCCATAACTATGCAATATATATGATAAAACCCTGGCCCAATTATATTAACAGTTTACAATAAATAACATCATGAACTCATTTCAAAAGAAGCAGGAAGTAGAAATACAGAGGAAGAAAAAAAAAACACTGGAAAAAAAGCGACTACTACCTAAATATCCAAAATTGGAGGAGGTCACCAAGATTTCTATCCTGGAATCATCCTTTCCTAGGTACTACTCTATCCCAAACCCAACTGTTAGCAAGAATATCTACTGAAGACAAGATAACAAGAATACATATTAATCTTTAAAACTTCTAGAAGTAATAGTAACCAATTATGTTTTACAGCTGCTACATAAACTGCCTAAAGAAATTCAAACTACTCATCATCTCCTTCAGAAACTATTTTTTAAGATCAATTGTGAAGAAATCAAGTGCTGCATGTTGTTTATTTTGAAAGAAGCTACCAAGGTTAGGAAGTAAAACAATACCTTATCAATATCTTATCCCTAGAAGCAAACCCAGAACCTGTTCACAGATCTGGCTTTGTGAAAATCTCCAAAGGGCCAGTGTAGTGTCCACTGAATAGGGCACCAGGAGTCCAATTCCTTTATTACTTAATCTTGCCTGTTATTCTCATGATAAATGTAAAAGACTGAAACACAACTTCAGAAGAATGCAGACAGGCTTAATTATCTGAATGCACTGACATCCGCATGGTTACAGGTGATCTGTCAGACTGTTAAAAAATATTTTAAAACTGAGATTTGAGCAATGTCTCTTACTGAAAACTCCCAAAGAATCAAACTGGTATGATTAAAAAGGGGTGAATGTCTTTTCTGTATTAGCAGCCAGATTAAAAACACAAGACAAAGGTAAATTGTCCTTTTTTTTGTGATGAAGGGAGTTTACCAGTAAGGTCACAAAGGGGTTAGCTGGAATTTATGTTCTTTGACATCATTTTATGTTATTTACTGAGAAAACAGTGCAAACTTACAGAAAGAACTGACCATCTTGATAGATTTCTGGCAGAAAATACTCCATACGGTTAAATGCAGAGTGATGCAAAGTGAGAAAATATTACTGCTCATAGTAACCTCACAGAATTAGATAAGGCATTTAGAAGTCCCTATGGATTGGACTCCAAACTGGCACCTGGACTAGTAACTGTTCACTCTCTCTTCAAAGGCAGTTAATGGTTGAATCTCTTAGGCTTTGCTGTATTTTTGGATTCCTGGAGGGGCAGGAAAGAGGAACCAAGGCACAAAGAGCAAGGTTCACAAAGAGAAGTACACAAAGACGAAGAAAGATGGTTCCCCTGAGCACAGATACAAAGAAAGGAGACAGGTATAAAGAATAACACCATAATGTAAACATATAAAATCATTAAAGTTCATAGAAGCCTAAAGGGGAAAATTATTCAGTCTTCCCTATATTAGCATAAAGAGACTTCTTACAATTTAAACATTTCACATGAAGTCTAGCTGTTTGTTCATACAGGATGATGCAGTTTGAAAGTGAACATAAACTCAGATGGGACTGAGCTGACTCACCCTTGCCTGAAGGCTACTGAGACAAGAAGACTCAAAGAGCCTGGTTTGCCTGGAGGAGTGTGGCAAGAACACTAGAACAGCAGAATTTGTTCAATGGAGCATAAAAACTGTGTTTGATTCCTGGAAGGTTCAGCCTACTGATTTCTGCTTGTTTCTACTTTTTCCTTCAACCTAGCACACCCTAAGACTTATCTGTTAGCCAGGAAGAAATCTGGCCTCCACTACCATACAGAAAGGCACATATCAACAGAGCCTTCTTCCCTCACAGATACTGGAGAGCACAGCCCAGTGCTTCTCCAGTATCTTTTACAGTAAGGAGAGTAATCCCTTTGCTCTGTTTAAGATCTGTCTTTTCCCTAGAACACAAGGAGTTAAGCAAGGAATGAGCCCACCGTGAAATGGGCACAAACTCTCTGAGTAGAATGATGTTTGCTATCCCACCAGGTAATTGTGAAATAGGTTCCAGTTCTGGAGCTCATACATGTAATCAGCTGATACTGAAGCCCAGTCACTGGAGTTATCTGTGCCCCAGAGAAGCTCTGGTGTCCTATCCATCTGTATTATCCGAATTATAAATATCACCACAAAGCATGTAAGAAAGCAGATAGCCTGTCCTTTACAGAACAGCTTTTACAACTCATGAGCCAGTTAAGTTTTACGATGGAGATAGTGGAGCACTGAACAGGGTGGTGGAAAATCACACCAGATAGAATGTGTTTAACTTCCCTATCAAGAGCCTGCAGTGAGAAAATAAAGCCAAAATGGGAGCTGTAGCTGTGCAGCATGTACCTGGCTGAACACTGGGAAGCAAACTATGCAAGATCATGGGATCAATTACTTTGGAAAAGACCTTCGAGACCATCAGCACTGAACATCACGTCAGCTAGACCATGACACTAAATGCCACATCCAGTCTTTCCTTTAACGTCTCCAGGGATGGTGATTCCACCACCTCCCTGGGCTGCCTGTTCTAAATCCCCCTTTCAGTGACGAAATTTCTCTTAGTGTCCAACCTAAACCTCCCCTGGCACGTCTTAAGGCTCATTACTGGTTTGCGGAGGAGCAGAGCCCGACCCCCACCTGGCTGCAACCTCCTGTCTGGGAATTGTAAAGAGAAATAGGGTCCTCCCCGGGCCTCCTTTTCCCCGGGATAAGTCCCCCTCAGCTCCTCCTCGTCACACTTGTGCTCCAGACCCCTTCCCAGCTCCGCTGCCTTTCTCTCGACTCGCTCCAGCCCCTCCAAGTCCTTCTCGGAAAGAGGGGCCCAGAACTGGAGGGGCTCACTCGAGGGGCTTCTCACCACTGCAAGGAGAAAACCACAAGACGCCGCATCGTGTTACGCTTTCACTTTTTTTTTCACAAAACAAGGATTTTACAAGCGGGGATAAGTTTTTACGCGCCGGGGAGGCCTCGCAAGCTCCGGAGCGGGAGCTCCCGGTCCTCGGTACCGGGGGCCTTTCCCTGAGACTGCCGAGGCGCCACCTCCCCGAGGGCCCCGCTTCCCGCGGCGCCTCCGTGTCGTTGTTTGAACCCGAAACGGAAATGGGATGGCAGAGCCGCCGGGAGAGAAACGGAAACAAAACACGGGCCGGGCCGCGCTCACCCGTCGCCACCGTCCGTCCGTCCGTCCGCCCGCC